CAGATACAAGTGGTAGGGGATGGGGGGGGGGGGGAATTATTGTAGTAGACTGTGGTTAGTGTGACAGATACAAGTGGTAGGGGGGATGGGGGGGGGGAATTATTGTAGTAGACTGTGGTAGTGTGACAGATACAAGTGGTAGGGTGGGATGGGTAGGGGGGGGGGAATTATTGTAGTAGACTGTGGTTAGTGTGACAGATACAAGTGGTAGGGGGGATGGGGGGGGGGAATTATTGTAGTAGACTGTGGTAGTGTGACAGATACAAGTGGTAGGGTGGGATGGGTAGGGGGGGGGGAATTATTGTAGTAGACTGGGGTTAGTGTGACAGATACTCAGATACAAGTGGTAGGGTGGGGGAATTATTGCAGTAGACTGTGGTTAGTGTGACAGATACAAGTGGTAGGGTGGGGGAATTATTGTAGTAGACTGGGGTTAGTGTGACAGATACAAGTGGTAGGGTGGGGGAATTATTGTAGTAGACTGTGGTTAGTGTGACAGTGGAGAAATCTAGAACTGACTGTGGTGTCAGACACGAGTGGTAGGGCGGGGTGGGAGAATTATTGTAGTAGACTGAGGTTAGTGTGACAGATACAAGTGGTGGGGGTGGGGGGTGGGGGAGTTATTGTAGTAGACTGTGGTTACGATGACAAAACTAGAAAAATCTAAAACTGACAGTAGAGTTGAGTAGAGTATCAGACTCGTGGTAGGGTGGGGAATATTATTGTAGACAGCTTAAAGTTAAAGTTACTAATTGACAAAACCGGACAAATCAAAAATTGACAGTAGTGTCAGAAACAAGTGGTAAGGGCGTGAGTATTGTAGTAGAATAAGGCTTAACTGTCAATCTAAAACTATTAAATATTAGTTATTTCGTCCCCTTTAGCGACTTACAGGGTCCATAGCCAAATCCCAAAAGAAAATTCAAGGGTTTTTCAAGGTTTTCAAGGTGATTTTGGGGGGAATTTCAAGGTAAAAACTACCACTTACGGGCATTACAATGAGGGTTATGTATGTTTTTTGCACACACAATTTTTAAAATAATTTTGGTGTTATTACAAAATTATCTAAGTCAGGAGATTGTCTGAGAGTCCAGCATAATCCCTTTTGCAATCAGTATCTTTGGTGTCAAATGACAATCCTTCAACTTCTATTTTCAGAAAAACCTCTTTCAACACTGGCTTGACCATGTGACAGAAGCAATAGATCTCTAACAATTTTCCAAATGTTCACATAAGAAATTTTGCTACCAAGCTGTTCTATGAAAAAACTGTCCAGCCTATCATGTGCTCTATTAAATTTAGATAGACAACCATTTAGAGTACATGTATCTATGAATGTTGAAAATTGAAACAGAACTTGGTCACACTCAGCTGATTTCAGTTTCCATTTGTTGACTAGGATGTGAAGAATTCCCTTCATTTTTTGGTGAACTGGCTCTATTTTTAAACATTTGCATTAGGCTAAGTCTCTCACTAATGACTAAAGAAATGAAGATTTCAACAAAAAATTTGATGAAAATCCTACCAAAGTTGTCTTACAATCAGATTTGAAATTGAGAATTTGAAGCTCACTTGCTTTTTTTTTTTAAATTTTTTAGAGACTTTATTAGAGAGTCAGCAACAAACCCAACTTCAATTGAATGACTTGTCAATGTCAAGTGCTAATCAGAATCAGGTCATTATACATAAAAGGAAGCATTGGTTCGTCTGTCTGATAGTCTTTTAAAAAGGACTCTGCACACATATAGAAACAAAAAAAAAACCTAGCTATGCTTGTAGAAATTATCCGCTTAATGTCATAAATGACCTCACGGTTTTTAAAAGATTTTACCTCCCCCCTCCCCTCCATCACACATCACAAAAAGCCAGGCCCCGCCCTCTATAATGACATCACACCTCAGCCTATAACCCCTCCCTCCCCCCCCCCCCCTCATAATTGCAGTTAAATTTTTCTTAAAATACGATTTTTTCCCAAAATCTTGTCTGAACTCTGTCAAAATAGAGTATTTTAATCAATTCCTTTTACAATTTATTAAAACAGTTTTCTAAAATGCTAAAATTCGTTTTCTAACATTGCTTTCAAATAATGCCAAAGTGTGATGTCACACCATCTGACCCCCCCCCCCCCTCCCCTCATCACACACCGTCACATGATTACGGATCCCCCCTCCCCCTACGAGTGTGACGTCATTTATGGACGACCCCAATGTCCCCACCTATGATATACATGATGACGTAAAGAAATATCGTGGATGTTTTAAGTTAGTTTCTATCGCGGAATAACAAAATTAAGTTGTTTTTTTAAACAATTTCACAAGTAACTCCGCTAGTAATACTCATGTCAGAGATGTAGCCGCCCGACAAAGTGAAAAGCGGATTTTTTTTTACAAGCGGATGGGAGGGGGCAGTGACAGCGGCAATTTTCTCAAACACGGTAATTCGAGGCTTCTTAAACATTTCAAGGACGTTTTACCACAGTAAAAAGCAATTAGATCTAGACCCTGCTAGATGGTGTAACTAAATTATAGCAGACCTACATATTTTGTTCAATGACCTAAAATGATGCAGATCTAGTTTTTGTTTTCGCTTAAATCTAGCAGTAAGCCCAATATTAAAGATAACCACGTTAAAATTAGATAAACAGCGTTTGTAGAACTGCCTTGACCGTGAGACACTACTGTGCTCGCGCGTGGTCTCGTGTCGTAGGTCTTACGGTCAGCGCGACCTTGAAGTGAGAGGTGGTAAAAAGTGTCTGTAAAGTTGAGTGAAAACAGCACAGTCATAGTCCTTCAAATTATTTTTCTTTTCTTTTGATAAATACAAATTTTTTTTTACGTCGGCGCAAAATCTTTCCTTTTTTATAGAAGACAATCGGCGATGCTAATGAGCTGGTAATGTTAGGATTTAGTTTTTTTTTAATTACACAGCCTAGCGGTAGTCCATTGATGACGTCACGTAATTAATGCGAATTTTACCCCAACCTCTATGGTCATAAATAACCAGACAGCCACGTCAAGAATGACATCAAAAAGTTCTGTCTACAGCCTCACCCATCTGATACAGCCAATGTGTATTTGGCCCATAGCACACGTGAGATTGACGATTACGTCATTTGCTATTGGTTTTTTTAACGAACGTGATAAATATGCCTATTGGCATTAGGAAATCTTGTTGGTTAATAGTTAAAAATCTAGATCTAGATCCACGACTATATTAATTATTAATATATTGCGAGGTCACTGTAAGTTGAGATGGACCTAGAAGACCTTCTAAGGTCGCAGTGACCGAAACATCTGCTATCGTGGGGTACACAAAGAACCGTGATTGATCTAGGTTCGTAAAAACGTGTCTTCTCGCACATCTAAAAAAACAGAACACAATAATTTGATAAATTATGTCTCGCTATTTACCCGTAATTCCGCAGCTACGTTTCGCCCTTTTGTGATTAACCCACACCGAGAAAATTTTAATTTAAATAAATAGCAACCAACGCTCGCATAGTTCAGGCTATTCTTTTTTTATTTAAACCTAAGGCTTATTTTCTTGAAGAAAAAATATTAGTTCTAGATGTAGGTTTAATTATAATCGAGATAATTTCCATGCGCGACCAGAATTTTAATGATTTAGGCCACATTCCAATTTTTTTCTTTACGGACATCACCGATCAGGAGACAACAGACCACTCGCGGGGTCAATAAAGTTCACAATATAGAGCCAACGACTGCCGAGATATTGTCGGGAAGGGATTTGGGGGGGGGGGGGGGTCGATTGTTATGATTGAAGATGTTTGAAACCATAGAACCGGATAACACGGAAATTTAACACAAGAAAAAAAAAGGTCGACACTAAATCGATTTTGATGTTTACTGTGGGCTTTTGCGTAACATTTGCGGCCTAATTCCGCAACAGGGATGTCAAAATCGAAAAATTACGGACAAAGCCGTACAAGTAGGTAGGCCCTAACAGACAACAATGAATCTAGATCTAGAATCTAGTAACTCGTTCGTAAACGGAGATACCCGAAAAACGATGCTAAATTTAGCCCTCGGCTATCGTTTACGTCACGATCTAGAATCTAGGTTGGGAAGAGCCTATGCAAAACTGGTCAGGTTGAGGTCATACCGCGAGGCTCAGCAAGGGAGAGGGTTGGAAATAGTGGACTCTGAAGTTAACGCAGACCCACGGCAAAAAAAAAAGCCAGAAAAAATTTAGATCCATCAGAATTGAGTTTTTTTTAAATTCGATTTACGCACGGTTTTCAAGGTTTACCTATAAAATTCAAGGGGTTTTGCTCATTTTTGGGGAAATTCAAGGGTTTTTCAAGGCCTTGAGATGTTTTTTGGAATTCAAGGGTTTTTCAAGGATTCAAGGTCCGCTACGGACCCTGGTACTAAGTACATTCAATTGCGTCTGAAAATCTTGAGCATTTCATTTATTTTCAAGTGTCGCCCAAGTTAGACCCGTTAAAGAAATGTATGACTTAAAAGAAAACGCGCATTCACGAATATATTTGCAATCTCAAAATGTAAAAAAAAAAAAGCTTATTAAACAGACTATGCAAATCTTAACGTAAGCCTGTAGCAAAACAAAATACGCTTAAAGCACGCGTTCCGGAAATGGCATGTGCGATGCGACATGGGAGGGGCTGATATGACAACGTGCGACACGAGATAAACCGCCCTCTCCCCATAACCCCCCCCCCCCAGGACACTTAACAGATGAAAGCCATACAATGCGTGACAACATAAAATAGTAAGTTTTAACACAAGCTTTATAATATATTGCCTTAACATTTGTTTTTTATATAACATAATTTTCTTAGTGCTAGATGCATTGAGAATGCAAACGTGTGTTTCGTACAAAGAAATAGTAGATCTAGTAGTTGGCTATGCTTTATTGAGTTTATTTTTGCAATTTCTTCAGAGCGTTTAACCATGCGTGTGCATTACTCATCGCACACGTTAATACTGTCATATAGTGAAAATAAAATCTGCACTTACCTAAAGTTACCAACTACATTTTAGCCACAATCCGATAAAGTCTACATTAAAATGGATGATGTCCTACTATAAAGGCATATCATGTATCCTTCAATCGTAAAACAGGTTTCTATAACAAGTGCTGAAAAAAAAGTTCAAATGAATGCACAGTTTAGACCGGCAGGGTAGGTGACCTTTCAACTATGGACAATTTGAATATTTTTATCACGGGACAAATTGTAACAAATAAATGTCAATCTTGCTAAGTTGTACACTAGGAAAACAGAACATTGAGATCGCTTAAAAAATAAATCACCCATTACGAAGTTTAAAAAAAAAAATCTTTAGTAAGAATACAAGCTAGATCTACTTAAAAAAAAACTCAACATAGCAATCAAACTCTAAATGCATTTGAACCAAGAAATTAATCACGTAAGATATAAATACATCCATTAAATGAAAGAGCATGAAAATAACTATACAACTACATCTACAACCCAAACCCAGCCCCAAGTATTAACTAGTCTACTTCCATAAAACCAATAAGAGAAGTGGACCAACACAGGAGAGGTAATTGAACAGTGCGTGGGTTACCATGACGTGCATGGTGGTACAGTCGTTTTACATTTTTTTTGTTACTGTGGCTGAGTAAATGGGACCACTGGATCAGCTAGGGTTCAGCAAAGAAGAGCCCCATTTAATAAAGCAAGTATACCCTCACAATGGGCAATACCCTCACTAACACATAGTGTGGACAAATGAAGTGTAACAGGGAATCAACTTCTTATGACTCAACACGATTCTTAAAGAATAATAGATACGATAATTAAAAAAAAAAAAGTTATTTGAGTAAAGATTCGATTTATGTTACTTCTAAAATAATTTAGACAGCTGCACATAAAAACAAATATTAAAACTAAATGTATCACATTTGGTAGTAGAGCGGCATTATTTGGTCTGACACATTTCAACAGATATATGACCAGATTTTGGACTATCGTTTTTTTTTTAATTTTCAAAACCTTTTGGATTAATTACTAAATTATAACTTAATATAGCAATCCTATAAAAAAAGATGTTTTTGTTTAAAGCCTTTTTTAAATTGTAATTTTCTTATTTTAAACAAAGATTTTTTTATTTCATTAATTTTTCTAAATGAAATGAAAATTACCAAACCATATAGACCAACTAATGTTGGTGGGGTTAAATGGTTGAGACAAAGACCGATGGCTAGCAAATCTCAATTTTGGACACCCGGTGAGCATGTAGGATGACTGAGTCCACCCAGTTCTAATGGGTACCTGACTCACAATAGGAAAACCAAGGCGGTTGGGCACAGTGCTGACCACACTATTCCCTTATTATACGCCAAAGTCATTAAAACATACATAAAACATTTCATCAGTCCTACGTATCTTGGGCACAAATGGAGAAAGATGATGATAGAGTCCATTATTTAACTCATGTTAACTGTTAATGTAAATTTGTATTATTTTATTACTACTTAACAATAACTGAATTTTGTATTCATAAACAATTTGTAACAATGCCCCTGAGGCATGAGTAATTTGTAAATTAAGGCATACTCTAATGAATATACTTATTCTACAAATTCCCTAAAAGCTCTTTGACAATAATCAACAAATAAAATGACCCTAAATATGTTTCAAATATCAAAGGTGAACATTGTAACCATAATTTCATTTTATGAAAGTAATACTAAAATGTCTTAACTGTAAATGTCTGTGTGATAGACAACATGATCTACAAGAAAAACTGAAGTTTGATATTTTTTTTTCAGATTTGAGATAAATATAAAAAACCCACTCAAACACCCAATGACATAGGGTGCAGGGGAGAGGGGAGGAGAAATGCGAGAAAAGAGCAAAATTTTGGACTGTCACTATGACCAATTCCTGGTTAAGCCACTGAAAACACCAGAGTAAAAATAATCTTTCTGATAGTAACCAAGTCATTATTTATGTTTAAGGAGCATTTGCTTGCTGTTTAAAAGGTACTGAAATTAAATTGCCATCCCCATCAACAAAACACAGGTAGAGGATTCACTATGAACTCACTAGTTAAGAAACCTGTATAGCATATGCCATAGCGGCGTGAAACAATTTAAGATTGCCTGTGACATCACTAGATCTATTACTTTCTCCCCAAAATTAACCATTTCAAATATATACAGTGTAGAGTGAAATATATGTATATCCACATGAAAATGAAAAATAGAGACACATTTCTAAGTAAGATTTCAGTAGAGGTGAAGTCACATCCTTGATTTAAATAAGGTCTAGCCTCAACAAAAATAAATAAAAAATAACTAAATTTACCGCTAGCAACCAAAAATACATAAACAACAATCACGACGAAGTACAACTGCATAGTAAAAATAAAACACGACATGCATTATACTGGATATCCCATTTCACATAAAATTAACAACAAAAAAAAGGTAGTCAACTGAATAAGGCGGCCACAATTAATATTAACATTAGGAGTATATACTTTTAAAATGTAATATGTGTCAAAGGAATGAATATTTAGGATAAGGAGATGGTCTAATCCTAATCAGCTTTTAAAAAATCAACAAGACGTTTGACAACCAAAACATGGATTGTGCAAAAATTAAAAGTAATGTACTTAAAACCAGATTATATCTGCCTCTATCATAGACTGTACTTCGTGTAAGTCTACTGAATCATTTGTTTACAAATTTCCTGCTCTTCCTAGAAAACTAAATTATGGGCAAATGATTTTCAAAACTTTGTGTTATATTTAAACTGCAAGCCATCTAGGAGAGGCTAATGCAAAATCAAACAGTTGCTGCATTGCAGATTTTACTTGGGTGGACAATGGCTATCCAGAAAGATAAGCAGACTAAGTCAATGGGCCATATGGTGCATAATATGATGACAAATAATACTTAATTGCGATGGTAAAGTGTGGTCAGATCTTTACTTTCCCCTTCTCACAGGATGGACTAAAGCCTGTCCAACGATTAATGAGAGGTCTTAAATCAAGACTTTGTGGTTAGAAGTCTTTGCTAATTTCCCCAACCATGCCGCCCCATGCTTTATATAAAAATATCAGCATGTCATCACTATATATTCCTATCTATAAGAGTACAGTTTGAAAGTATTGAAAGCTTTGATATGTTGAGGAATCATACAAAAGCGTATCCAGGTTTTTGGATTAATTTATAGGGGATCAGCATGTGCAGAAAAGGTACACAACATAAATATATATAATATTATTATATATGTTCTTTAAACATTTGCATTTTAAACTTGTGCGTGCCAGTCATATCATTAATTACCGTTGGGAATAGCCCCAATATGGTTATTCCCAGTCACTGAGTCAGCTTTCATTTCATGCAAAATACGACTGGGAATATCTTATATAAAATAACAAAAGCCAGAGTAGTGAGGTATAGATTAAAAGAGAAGTGCTATTTTTATTGTGATATATTTTAAATTACTAAAACTAAATTTAAACTTATTTTTAAATTAATAATATACATTATGCATTAGTTTAGTTGGTACTTCACACTCATGACACTGCTATTCAACTGTTTTAAAACTCATATAGAATAAATTATCAGGTGAAACGACTTGTCCTTTTTAAACAGTTTTTATTCATGTTTCCATCGCAAAAATGCATACAACAAAAACAAATTAACGCAAGTAACGCTAAAAATTTTTTTTGGATAAAACAATATCTAGTACATATAGAACTAGAAGACATCTACCAATCTAGTCTGCGAGTATTACATCTTTTTTTAAAAATATTTGTTAATAGCATATTTAAATCTACTATGTAATTGAAAGAATTTATCAGACAACTCATAGGCCTGAACATCTAACATTTAGTATGATTTAGATGACAAGAAAAATGAGGCATTGTAATTCTGTTTAGTAACTTAAGTAACTATGTGCAAGCGCATCTTCTTCCTGCTAGAATCAGCTTTAACCTATCGAAGCGTCTATTCATAGTGGACTGTGAATAGCCGTATTAGGGCTATTCACAGTCGTCATATTTTTTTCTAGATTTAATTTTGAAATACCTCATTAGGCATGAAGATGTGTGGTCGAGTGGACATGGGGAGTGGCTGTGGTGCCAGAAGGTGCGGGTTCAAACCCATCAGATGCCTTATCGCTGTGACTATTAATGTGTGCCTCTTTTAATCAAATATTTTTTTCTTAGTTACGCATGGAATGGTCATAACATTTGTTAACTTTTTTTGTTTGTGACGTAATTGTTGGCATTTCAGAAAAAAAAACCTGTCCCATAGATTTTTGCTAAGAGAAAAAATACATCACAAAAGTGTGATGGGAACTGAATTATAGCTGATGAAAAAGGACATCCTATTTCACCTGATATTTACTTTATGTGATAATGTGAATTTTTAATGGTAATTGATTATTGAATAGCAATGTGAACAACCAACTAAACTGATGCTTAGGCCTAATTAGTATTATTTATTTAAAAATTACTAGATCTATTGGTCTAGTATAGATTTAGAGTGCATAATTGTCAATTTGATCATCTATGACCAACGTAGCCTGTAGCAGATATGTCTGATATGGGCCTAAAAGCTAAACTAAACTTTAACCATAATAACTTTTTAATAAAAAAATAACACAATCAAAATAGTATAGGCCCACTGCTCTCTTAATCTATACCAGGGGTCTCCAAACTTTTCAGTCCGAGGCCCGCATTAACTATCAAAATTCACTTCGAGGGCCAGTTTCTTCCAGGCATGTCTTTGATTTTTCTGGACAAAGTTTTTCAGACATCATCAACAAACGTTTTTCCCCTGGACAAAAAGATCTCCGCGGGCCGGATTAGAGGACTTTGCGGGCCGCATCCGGCCTGCGGGCCGTAGTTTGGAGACCCCTGATCTATACCTCACTCCCCAGTCACAATAAATGCTTTTATTATTGTAAGATATTATTTACAGCCGTATTTAGCATGAAATGACAGCAGACTGTGAATAGCCCCTATACTCAATAGGCTATTCCCTAGATTCTAGATCTAGTCTAATTCAGAATTCTAGATAGATGATGAGATTTATCTAGATATCTAGATTTAGATTCTAACTCCAGCTAGACTGCTAGACTCATACTTTATTAACTAGATCTAATCTAGATCTAGCTGCCTATTTTAGTAGCCTAGGCCTATTTAATTTATTTAAAATTTAAATAGGCCTAGATCTAAATTTAAGTTTACTGTGTAACTGTAAGGTAAAGTGTGTAAAGTAAGGACAGGGGCTAAATAAAATTGAATAAATTTAAGTTGTCTAGGCCTATTATTTATTATAAGTAAAATAGCTTGAATAAACTCGAAGACGGATAGAGCTAAGCTGCTAGACTAGACTAGAGAATCTTATTGCCGAAAAGCTCGTCAATAATGAGTAGATCTACTCAAATCTATGGCCTAAACTAAAAATTAAAATTACTAAAATAACAGTTTCAGTAACAGTAACAAACACAGTCAGTAACAGCTCAGAAGAAAGAATTCAATTCTAAATATTCAACCAATATTAATATTGTATTAATAAAAAGTAAGAGTACAATATAAATATAGATCTAAATTCAGACCTAGATTAGATTCTAAATCTAATACAATGAGAAATGTAAGGCAAGTAAAGAACTAGCCTTTCCTATTACTCCGTGTATTTTAATGGATCTACATCCACAGGAAGTGGCGGCGGCCATGTTTAAGACCCTTAGTATACATTCCCTTCGTGTCTGCTATCAAAAGTAGATTCAGCTATTTTATTCTAGCCAAAATATGAATGTGTTGCGTCTGTACCTAACTAAATACTGGTGATATATCAGTTAAAGTTGAAATCTTACCTTAATAGAGTCAATTATGGCATGATTCTTTTGAGCGTAGGTACGATATCAAACCATAGTTTGGCCTAGGCCTAACATGAGCCACTTTTAGGAGAGTGGAGATATGCAGAGGTCAAGGTCACCTCAATACTAGAAGGATTTTCCCTCATGTGACGTCACAACATCCGCCACATTCCCGCTAAAACAGAGTAGTTTTCATTGATAAAGTAACTACAGTGGAAAGCGAATGTTGCTGCGTAGAAAAAATGGAACAAGCGGCTAATAGATATGGGCAAGGCGCCCAAAGCGGATGTTGTCTGTAAATAAGAGTGACTTCTGAATGAAATGTCTACAGCCCTTATTCAACAACGTCGTATTTTATGTGTTTTTATGGGGAGGGCAGTAGCGTATAATGTCTAGGCTATATGCTTATATTATGTAAATAAACTTTTGGGGAAAATTCAGAGTAGTGCTGTTTAAAGTTTAAATGCCATTATATTTAGGCCCACCTAGGGGCTGTTTCACAGATACATGTTACATCAGACTTTTTTAAACACGATTTTCTGCGTGCCAATTTTTTTTTCTTTCTTCAGTCTCACTCCTCAAGATTTACTTTACTACAGATCGTTCGTGTAGCCCTGTGATTCTTTTTTTAAATGGCTCATTCAAAAGGGCCACACCCCCTTTCCACGTTGACGCTCACACGCTTCGTAATAAATGCCACGAGTTTGACTTTGATGGGCGATTATCTCTACTATAAATTATTGCTCAGATCGAATCGAATATAGTCTGGTGGTCTAGTCAGCAGAGGCTTAGCGAGAGGGGGGGGGGACATATGTCCCCGGGCGCCGACCTTAGGGGGGGAGCCAAAATGGGTTGGAAAAACAAATTGAAGTTTAAGGGGGGGGGGGGGGGTGCAAATCGAAAGTTTGTCGAAAGGGTCGCTACGCCTCTGTCGCTAGGTCGGGTGTCACCCCCCCCCCCCCCCCCAAAAGAAAGAATGTACATGTATATAAATATATATATATATATATATATATATTATATATATATATATATATATATATATATATATATATATATATATATATATATCGTGCGGCGTCAATTCGACCAATGACGAAACGGCCCCGTCAAAACGACCCCGACAAAACGACCCGTCAAAACGACCCCGTCAAATCGGCCCCGTCAAAAGGGCCAGCGACATATGGACCCCCGTCATATAGGCTCCCGACAAATAGGCTCCCGTCATTTAGACTACCGACAAATAGGCTCCCGTTATATAGGCTCCCGACAAAAGGGCTCCAGTCATTAAGGCTCCTGACAAATAGGCTCCCGTCATTTTGGCTCCCGACATATAGTCTCCCGTCATTTAGTTTCTCCACAAAACGGCCCCCGTCATTACGACTCCCGACAAACAGGCTAGCGTCATTTTGGCTCCCGACAAAAAGGCTCCTGTCAATTTGGCTCCAGACAAAAGGACCACTGACACAGTGGCGTAGCTACCGTAAAGCTAGCGTAAGCAAGGCATGGGGGCCCAAGGCACATAGGGGCCCTTTTCCCTCATAAAAAATTAAAACTTTTACAATTGAATTTTAATATTTGTTACATATAAATAATTTTAAAAAAGAAAAAGGTTAAAAGTTTCAAAAAGCCCCCCCCCCCGTTTCGGCAGTGGGATTCAGTGTTTGGGGGTCAAACAGAGCCCAATCGTTATAATAACACTACAGGCTATATCACTTTGTCGTGCAAGACATTGAGAGAATCAGCCTATAAATAAACTTTTAGCAGTAGTAGGCAAGCATAATAATATAGTATAAATACAAAATCAGGACATATAAAATACAAAATGTTGCCTTCAGAATATTTATATATTAAAAAATATCCATCGTAAGTAGAAGTTGATCTCTTCGTTTAACTCCTTTGTAGCCTAACGCAGAGGCGTAGCGAAGGCGAGGCGGGGGGTGTGGACCGCAACGGGTGACACCATTTAGGGGGGGGGGGAGGGTGACACCAAAGGCAAAAAATTGTAAAATTTATAGAATGAAATGCCATTTTCCAGATCCATTAGTTAAAGTTAAATAGTCTTCTAAGTACAAATCGAAAATTATATCAAGAGGGGGGGGGGTGACACCACGACGTAAACGTCAACTATAAAGAAAACAATGCT